TTCCAAAATAAAGCCTAAGCGTTAGTACTCTCGGATACACGTTCGCTTGCCATCGTGGTGGAGGGCGTAACGCCTAAACTTTCCTACGGCTTGTCGTCCAAAGCCTCTTTTTCCCTTCATCTTTTCTTGACCAAGGGACAGTCTCTACCAAAGGTGTGCTAGGCTTTTTGCACAAAGCAGCGAGACCACTGAGCATATGTACATACACAAGAGGCGATACTGCAGTGTCGTCAGCAGCTGCAGCAGCAGCTGTTGACCACTTGGACGAGGATGGTGCCGGAACCGAAGTGAACGAAGGCCTAAGCGAGATAAACAGGAGAAGCAGCGGGACCTGCAGACGCGACAGCAGCAGCCTGGTCCGACCGCTGCGTAGCTAGCTAAATACTTTCCAGGATTTTTTGCGGCGCAGGTGTCTTGTGTTGATGGCTTATTTTCGGCAAAACCTGCCGCTGCTTTTAAGGGATATGCAGCAGCAATCGTGGCTGCAGCAGCAGCGACAGCAGGAGCACCAGCGACAAGGAAGCAATAGCAACAACGGTAGTACCGAACGCCAGCAGCTGAACTTTGCTTTGCTCAAAAATAATGAGGAATGCAGCAGCTGAGCCATGGCATTCAGCAGCAGGTGCAAAAGTTAGTTCCTACTATTAGGGACAAACAGAAGACAGCAAGCAGCCGTGAACATGTGAACATTGTAGGGGCACTCTACGCCTAGGAAGCAATTGCAGGCGTAAAGTTCGTCTTCTGGGAAATGAGTTCAGACAAGCTACTGCTGCTGCTACCCCTGCTGGCTGCTGTTACTGCTACTCCTGCTGAGGCTACTGCTGCTGCCACTACTGCTGCCAATGGTGCCATTGCTGTAGATGGCAATGCTTAAGGGGGGAAAAATTGCCCCGATAACGGCACAAGCAGGAGTAACAGGTGCTGCAGCACCTTGCAGCAGCAGCAACAGGGGAAGCAGCAGCTGCCACAGCAGCAGCACCAACGAGAGACACAGATGCCGTTGGGGCTGCATTCTAAGTGCTCCTTGACATCTCAGGTCAGCAGCAATATTCGCTTCAGCAGCAGCAGCTGCTGCAAAAGAATTGGAAACACGGTTCTGAAGCAACAACAGCAGCAGCAACAGCGGCGGCAGCAGAAGCAACAGTAGCTGCAACAGCACAGAGCGGCGAGACAAGCAACCAGTGTGCGGTCCTATGGGAAGCTTTAGCGGACCTTCACTCTCATCCCACTTATCTGCTGCAGTGTCCGCAGCAGCTGCTGCGTCTGCGGCGGCAGCTGCTGCAGCAACAACTGCAGCAGCAACTCCTTGCGGAGGGCCCCTGGGGGGAGCCCATGAGGTTTGCTGCAGGCAAGGAAGCGCCGAGGACCCTCACGGCGGCGCTGCGGTGGGTCCCGCGTGCAGCAGCAGCAGAAGCCGCTGCCTTTGTCTCCCTGCTGCAGCTGCTGTATACCCGTGGGGGAGCTGCTGCACTTGGAATCCAGAAGCAGCAGCAGCAGCAGCAACAGGAGCAGCAACACGGCTTCTCTGCCGACGCTTCAGACGTATGTGAAAGAAGCGACGAGGCTGCAGAGTCCCATTTTCCACTTGTAAATCAGCAACAGCAACAGCAGCAAGGGCAGCAACAGCAACAGCAACTACAACCGCAACTGCAGCAGCAGCAGCAGGTGCGGGGTTGGCTGCCGCTTTCAGACGCAGCAACTCTCCCCACTGAGGCTGGCAGCAGCGCAGCCACGCTACAGGAGCTGCTGAACCCCGCAGCCTTGCTAGAAGGGTCCCTTGAGGCTCTTCATGGGCCCCTTGCTGCTCAGCTTGCTGCTGTTCTCGACAGTAGCATAAACAGCAGCAGCACCAGCACCAGCAGCTGCGGCATCACAGCGTTCAAAATAGGCTTGCTGCTAGAACAAGCAGCAGCGGCTACTGAGCAAGCAATCGCTGCTGCCGTTCAGAACTCTCCTCAAAAGCGTCTTGAGAGAGAGCAGCATCAGCAGCAGCAGCAGCAACAGCGGCAGCCGCTGCTGGTGCGTTTCTTGTTGGATCTTTCAACGAGGGTGCTGGACAGGCTCGAGACCCAGTGGGACTCCTCGGCGCTGCTGCTGCCGCAGCTATCCGCAGCAGCAGCAGCAGAATGGGCCCCCGCCGCTGAAGAGGGGGCTCCACCCCGCAGCAGTTTGCCTCCGTTTCTAACGGCTTTTGCCTCGCGCCTGCAAGACCTGCTGTTAGCGTACGCAGCTTCTCTTTCTTCTCTGCAGCAGCCTCAGCAGCAGTTCCAGCAGCAGCCCCAGCAGCAGCAGCAGCAGCAGCCGACGCGCGCTGTGAGTCGCCTGGAGACGCTGGTAGGCCGCGACGTGTCCCGCTGCCTCAACTAGTGTCTGCAAATGGCTCACTTCATGGGCAAGGCCTCGAGCTGCGTCTTTCTTATAAATTCGTTTTCATGCTTGAGGGCCTCGCTGCAGCTGCAGAGTTTGGCGTTCATGTGGGACGCCAGCCTGCAGGAGCAGCAGCAGCAGCTGCTGCAGGAGCAGCAGCAGCTGCAACAGCAGGTCTTGGTGCTGCAGGAGGCTGTGTCAATGCGTGTGCATCGGCAGCAGCGCCAACTGCTGACGCAGCTAATAGAAGAGAAGACAGAAGAGTTAGGTAACCTGTTAGGTTTGGGGCTCTACGGCAGCAGCAGCTTGAGTCGCTGCATGCAGGAGGCACCTCCTGCAGCCGCTGCAGCCACTTCTGCTGCTGCCGCTGCTGCTGCTGCCGGCCCCACCCTCAGGACTGGCGATGCATGCAAGCAGTTCATTGCTGCAGTTCTAGGCTCCCCAAAAGCCCTCGACATGCCCCTCCTTGCTGCTATAAACGAGGGGGCAGCCCGCCGCCGCACCCGGGCCATTGCCTTGGGGCTGCTGCTGGCGAAGTACACAGAGCTCTACAGCAAAGCTGCTGCAGAATGCACACAACCCCCTCCACACTCGCCTCAGGAGCTCAAACTCATATTCGACCTATAAGCACCCCAGGGGCCCCTAAAGACAAACAACGGGTTCCTGGGGGACCCTGCTTGGGGGGCTCCAAAGCCCGAAGCCACGCACCTGGTTGGGAGGTGACTCGGGTGGGCCCCCTTAGGACTCTAGTTCATCCGGGGGCCGCGTTGGGAATATAAAAACCCTAGATCCCAGTCTCGCTTTAATGGCTGCAAAAGTGGCCGCGCAAAGAAACTCTTAAAACCTTTTCCCGGCTGGCCAAAGACCTAATTTAGTCCTTGTGCCTTTTTGTGGATGGCGGCGGGCTGAAAAGTGACTGCGGTGTCTTCTCTGTTTCCTGTGTCTGTACACCTCACGTCCCACTGGCCCTGTGCGTCTTTGGCCTTTCTGCCTGTGCTGAGGCTTCTGGATCTTCTCGGCGAGCACAAAAGAATCCTTTTGTGTCACTGAGTCAAGCCCATGAGGCTGAAGAGCACACAGACGCAGGCTCTGTCTGCGTCTGAGTGCTCCCCGGTTTCGGGCACCAGGTAAAAAAAACAGTGAGGAAGAATGTAGGATTTGGCCGAGTCCGAGGGTTGAGGGTTTTGCGTTTAGAGCTTTATTGTAGGGTATAGTGCGTTGTAGAATTCGGTGTTCAAGTCCTAGTCACAAAGTTTAGGGTTTAGTGCTGTGCTAGTGTTTTAGGCGACTGCCCGCCTTCCTTGCCGGCCCAGCGACAGCTGCGCCGCGACTCACGTGGGCCCTCAAGACGGGCTTTGCTGCTGATGCAAGCCTCCGCTGCTGCTTCCCGCCGCTGTTTTGGGTCCCTTCTCTGGCTTGGGAAGCAGCAGCAGCAGCAGCGCCCCCAACAATGGTTCCATGAGTGTCACGGCCTTCACGGCCTGGGTCTGAACGAAGCTGAGGGTGGTGGGGTCGGTGGTTCTGAGATCGTGCGGGAAATGAGTAGGCCACCGACGGCCTGAAGAACTCCAAAGCGCCTCACCTCTTCGCAGCGGAGTCCCAGCAGCAGCAGCAATGGCAGCAGCAGCAGCAGCAGAAGCATTTGCTGTAGTCACAGCACAGCAGCAGCAACTGCAGCAGCAACGACTGGCGGAAGACACAGCAAAGCTGTGATATGTGAGTATGCAGCAGCAGGGCCCTGCGGCCCCTTGCGACTGCGTTGGATGTCATTGAAACCATCAGCTACTGCTGCAGATGCAGCAGCAGCTGCAGCAGCTGAAAGCTAACTTGCTGCTTCCGCAGTGCTCGCCGCACTACCCAGGGGTAGGCCACTGAGCCGCTTTTGGGTATCAGCTGGCAGTCCTGAGGTGACATTCATCTGCATTGTATATGTAACGATTAATTAATACTGATTTACCTATATGCAACTGCATGCAAAAGTTTGTTATTCCCGCTATCCATATTATGAGTGTATATTATTCTAAGATGAATTCGCATGCGTCTTTCTCAATATCTGTATCGGTCACATGCGCCTATCTCAATATCTGTGCAGATATTTTCTGTCCCTTTCACTCTAACTTCGCGCTGACAAGCGGCAGCAGCAATAAGTGAAAGTAATAAGAAGGCTAGCAACAAGCCGGAACAGCAAGCGGCAGGACCAGATAGCACCACCAAGCAGCAGCAGCGTGCAGGAGCAGCAAGAAGAAGTGCCGAGCAGCAGGATCTTGAAGCAAGCAGTAGCACCAAGCAGTTGTACCAAGCAAAATCACCAAGCAGCAGCACGAAGCAACAGCATCAGGCCGCAAGGCAAAGCAGCACCAGCAAGAAGCAGCCACGAGCAGCAACAATAAACAGTAGCACCGAGCAGAACCACGCCGCAGCAACAAAAAGTAGCAGCAAAAAGCAGCAACAGCACGCAGCAGCAAAGAGCAGCAGCAACAAGGAACAGCAGCAAGCAGCAGCAGGCAGCAAGGAGCACCAGAAGCGAGCAACCACTGTACAACAGTTCGTTTGTCTACTTCCTTAGTTCAAGAAGCAATTCTTATTCTGCTGGATGCCACTCTCTGCTTTCGCCTCAACACCTGGAGCAGCTGCAGGATTCGCTGGAAGCTTCCATACGGCGAGGATCACTTTGCTGCAGCAGGTATCAGAAAGCAAGCTTCATTCTGGCTCCTTGTGTCTGTTGCGTTTAGCCTTTTTCTGTGCTGGTGCTGGCCGCGAAGCGTGGCTCACTTACTCTTCTAAAGATGTAGCTCTCGGCCAGAGGGCACGTTGTGCTGTTGCTACTACAGTTGCTGTCAAAGTCTGCGTTTATAGCTTTCCGCCAGAGGGCATGTTCTGCTGTTACTGCTGTAGTTGCTGCCAAAGTCTGTGTTTAGCCTTTTTCTGTGCTAGCCGCGAAGCGCGGCTCACTTACTCTTCTAAAGATGTAAATCTCGGCAAGAGGGCATGTTCTGCTGTTGATACTGTAATTGCTGCTGGTTGTGCTGCTGAAACTGCTTCTTCTGCAAAAGCTGCTACTGATGCCGCTGCTGCTGCAGCAGTTGCTACAGATGCTGCAAAGTGCTGCAGTTGTTAAAACTGGTGCTGTCGCTGTCAATGTTTCAGCGGAAGCTGCAATTCCAGTTGTTGTCCTTTGCTAGCTGCGCTCTCAGTCTGTGAAGCTTGGAATGCGTTGCACCTGTTGGGAAGCCTCAAAAATGCGATTAGACTCTGGTGATCCAGTGCCCCAGGCCCAAAATTGTAGGGCAATTTCTTTGGATCTAGCGCCTCTTCGTAGCCTTGTCTTTTGATTTCTATCAACTGCTGTGAAGCCAGACGGAATTAGACGAAATTGGGAACAGCAAAAACTAAGCTTCCTATCAACTGCTGTGAAGCCAGACGGAATTAGACGAAATTGGGAACAGCAAGATCTAAACTTCCTATCAACTGCTGTGAAGCCAGACGGAATTAGACGAAATTGAGAACAGCAAGAACTAAACTTAAGACTGATGGCTGCTTTTCAACTCAACATCAGCCCGGAAGTAAAAGTATGGGACGCATTTTTTCTGTAAAGTGAACATCAGTTGCATTATTCGGTGCTCAGTTACAACTAGGAATTGGAACGAACTGGAGGCAACTTTAGTGAGCTTCACAATTGCATTTCTTGCTAACTAGAAATGGAACGAACCAGAAGCAAATTAGTTTGAAGCCCCAAATATGGAATAGTATTACTTTCTACTCAGCTAAAAAGTGCAGACTCTTGCTTTTCAATGCTTCTTCATCTATGTGTATACATATGCGTACATCCTTTCAGATCTGTTGAAGGCAGCAACGGCTATACAAGCGTGGCCTCTTAAATCAGATTTGTGCCAAACTGGAGTCCTTTTTTTGACAGAATGTTGCGCAGAACGTGGAGAACAGTCCCTTTTGCGGTGCCAAATTTGCGCTTTTTAAGGCTGTTTTGGGAGCACTCCACAAACCCTTTCACATTACAGCCCCAAAGCCAGCCGGCCACTCCTGTGGGCTAGACGTTCTTTGCGTCAAAAGTTCATGAGCCGCGTATCTTGTTTCTGCATATTACTTCGCAAAGCCAATACTCGTGTGATAGCTGCTGAAGGCCCGATAGGCACCTAGCAGCAGCGACACCGCATTTGCTTTCTAGGCACAAATTTGTGTTTTCTGTATGAGAATGCAGTGTAGTCGTTTGCTTCTGCTGCGTGGCATTCCCTTCAATCCCATGTTTACCGCCATGCTGACTGACATTCCTGTCAAAAGCAGACCGCTACGACGTATCTCCCCTTGTTCCTGGCGCTCTATTCATGCAAGCAACAAGACCACGGATACTCCACATCGCAAAAGTGAAATGGCATTAGTAGCAACATCAAAGCGTCATCTCCCTCGGCAATGCTACATGCTGGCTGCTGCACAATAGGGGCTCATTTTTGCTAGGCTGTTTCTGCGGCTCTCTCTGCTGCATCATTTGATGTAAGCGTGTAAATTGTTTCCGTAGTATGATTCTTAAACAGCCACCGTTGCACGCGTATTTCTGTGGGAAATGCTCCGCTCGTGAGAGTGCGGGGTCCCGTAAATAAGCCCATTGGTGAACAATTCAGCAGGCACTTGACTTGCTACTGTGCTCTTGTCTTGGAATGTTGGCTGAAAGGCGCAAAGAAGCCAGGCCAGCATCCTCACTATCAACTAAATTTTCTAGCAGCGAGCATACGCAATCATCCCGCCTATCAGTGTCTCCATTTATGCATGTAATAGTTTGGTGCAGCACGCGACTTCACCTGCACACTTCCAGACTGAAAACGGCAAACGAGGACAGGGCACCCCTATCCGTTGCACCGCAACTGCAGCAAGTGCGGCAGTACCCCACGGCTAACGCAGCATTGCCCCAAATATACGCTTCGGAAGGTTAACTTCAACAGCCTCAGTCGCAACCAAAATACCGGAAAGCACAAACTCTCCCATTTCCA